GAGCAGTTAATGGCACTAGAATAGAGAAATTGCATGTTGTGATGAACATTGCCAAAGTTTGTGACCTTGCCTAGTGCATGTGGTGCTGATTATACCAAAGGCTGAAGCAGATGTGAGGGAAAATTGTGTTTCATTTCCTCCTAGCTATCCCAGGCCCTCTCTGGTTAAGGGGAGGATTATGATGCTTTAGGAAAATAATGTATATATCTCTGTGTGGCTGTAATAATGATGGATGTTTTCTCCCAACCCAAGTAACTGTGATAGATACAGCTGGCTGCAACCTATGATGAACACTAAGGTTAATTGGAAACAAGGGCACAGCAGTCCCTAAGTAGCATTATTCTGTGCTATATTCACATGCTGTCATTAATTTTCCTATTTGTTTGACTTTACAAAACACATAGTAACAAAATCTGAAAAGAATAGAAATAAGAGCTCTATTGTACCACTTACAAAGGTAGAACTGAGGATGAGGAGGAACTGAATTAACCAAGTGCTTGCTGACATTATGCTCTGTACAGCCTAACGCCTCCAGGTAACGGGAGAGCACACTGTGCAGTGGCATTTGCTACATCTGTGCACTTCTACCTGGTTTGTTAAAAGATTGATTATCATAACACTTCGGGGCCATGGCTATTTTATTATAGCAGAGTTCAACCTGAGTCAGAATTTGAACTCCTGAAGCACTGAAAAAAATATATGGAATGTAAGACTAGAGTTGTTGTGCAGTGTGAGAATGAGCACTTGGCAGATGGAGTCTGGTGTCTCTTCTCCGAAGGTGGCCAGCATCTGGTGGATGATCTGCATTTAGAGGAATGGTCAAAGATCCCAGCAATAGGCTGTTATGGAAATAATCTGCCTTCCACGTGGGGAGCCTCATCTGGTAGAGTTACAGACTTCTTTCAGCTCCAAAAATCTGAGGTATTATGGACTTCCCCAAAGTAGTTACAGGGACCCTGAGAATTCTCATTCCTAGTTTACTGTTTGTCCACACACCTTTTTGGACACTAGCAAAGCTGGGTTTAGCAGGATTACGTGTAGCAGCGGTTCCTCCAGTACATACTCCTGTTAGATGAAAAAACCCCACATTTCCTATACCCTGAATTTATACATTTAGGGAATGGGGATACAAAGCTTAGAGAAGTGGAAGGTTCTGCAAAGCAGCTGTAAGACTATAACGCAGCAGGAATTATAACAGCAATGTGAATGAGAACAAATGAAACGCAGATACCTGACACGTGTTGCTTGTCTCTGATCCCACAGAGTTGCACAAACATGCAAGACAAGCCGAGCCCATACAACCTGAAACAATATGCACTTGTCAGAACGCTCCTAATAAAATCCTACTGCACTGCTCGCTCCCTGTCCAGCAAACAAAGCAGTAGAAGCCCTTTTGCTTTATTACAAAAGCCAACAAATCCATATCCATATGGAAATTATCCATATTCTTATAAAACTGATTTTTACAAGGTTTTATTTGAGTGAATGGTGACAGTATATGGGCATATAAAAATATATATAAGGAGTGCTTTCACTGTAAAGTAATTTAGATTACAGGGAAAATTAAGTCCCAGTGATCCACCTCAAGTGAGACCAATAACTTGTAATACCTCTGCAGGATTTCAGGGGGAAAAAAGTCATATCAGATGCAAACCCTATCGCCCAACTAACCCCATGAAAATGGGTATATTACGATGTTTGGCCATCAGAAATAAATACATACACCAAGAAAAACCACAAGTGTCTCTGCACTGCCTACAAGTAACTCTGTATGTGTTCTTTTTCACACTTGCACCCTTACAACATATTGCAAGCACATGAGGGAAAGAAGGAAATGGAAGCGGGGGCAGGATTCCTGCATGTTACAGATACAGCTAACAGGTTTTTTTTTTTAGTCTTTCCTTAAGACCTTCTGGTTGCTGTATTTCCTACAGCAGAAAATTTCAAGATCTTTCCCTTGTTATCACTACTTCTAACAGCTATATGTGCCCTGATGAGACTATTTTCTTGGGCATATTTCTATTAGTGCTCTTAAACATGTCTTTCCATTTGCCTATTTTGGCTCCACTGCAACACAAAGCTGTAGGCATACTGCTAAATGAGGACATAAACTTTTCTAGACTTTTGCAAACAACTAGACTTCTGAAGAAGATAAATTGTTATTGCTTTTGCACTGCTCCTTTCTTGGGAAAAATGAGAAATGAAAAAAACACTGCCACTGTGTCAGTATTGCATAGAAGTTTATTGGGTGAGCAATAACATGTCATTGTCAATCGAACTAATAAGCAACAGAAAAGCTGGCAAGTAAAATTCAAGCTCCTGAAAATAATTTCTGAATCCAATTCACATTCACATATTTAATTATTCATTAAAAGAAACCAGAATGACTGAAAGAATCACAATCCTTCTCAGTGGGCCCTAAAAATTAATCAGATATTAACTAAGCCTGTGTTGTTTTTCTTTTAGTGGAAATGTAGCAAGAAAGTAAGAAAACTATAGTTACAGTTTGAGGGAATGCACTCCTAAGTCATTATTGACATCTCAAAGATTAGAACAATGTATTTCCTGTATTTCAGAAGGGAGTATCTTGACAAGGATGTACAACTTGGGCAGTATATCACCATGGTGAAAAAGATCTTGCTTTTGGCCAATATCAAACCAACCTATTTTATCATGCATTTTTCAGCTCTCCAGTACGACGTTACATGATTCAGCAGAAACCACACAGTACAAACTCCTACACGGTTGCGAAGCATTCTGGCTTCAAAATGAGTCCCACAAATCTTCTTGTCAATGCCTTGGACTTCTAGAAAGGATTACAAAGTTAGAACTGCACAAAAGCAGTATAGAAGAGCCTGACTCATGCCAAATTGTGGTCTAAGAGCGGCTTGGGGAGCAAAGTTAAGGTTAAAGGTGGTTTTATGACATCCTTATATCTACTAGTTCTCTGTCAGTTTCTGCCAGGTCATACCCTTGATCACTTCCTTTCCTTTACTGCAATGTTTCTGCCATTTTAAAACTGCTTCTGCAACTTGTACTTCAGGTCTCAGGTGGATTACAGGATGTAATGAAGGGTGATCCGTGCTGCGCACTCCCACAAACTAAACGTGTACTATGTGGAGACTTGCGCATAAGGAAGAGCTGGACTCGGTGTCCCAAATTATTCCTTCTAGTGCTATGGGAACATAGCACTAGAAAGTACGCTAGAAATTCAGCAATATTTAGTGTAGTCTGAAGGCTATTTTAAGTTGTGCCAGCTGCTAAACACAGCAGGGATTCAACAGGGTGATAAAGGACATTTTAGACCAAGTCCTGACTTACACTCTCTGCAGGGAGGTAATACAAAAATTGCTAGGAATGCTCTGCTCAGTCTGAGAATTCACCTATTTTGGGATAAGCATTCCAGGGCTGACTGAGGGCAGATTCATAGTACATGAATGGTACAAATCTGCAGTAATGCAAACAAGGTCTGAATGTGGAAAGGGAGTAACAATAGAAGAATCATTTAAAGCCAAAGATTGATATTTCAGACCTAGCTGGCTGGAGGCTGGGCTTTTTTTTTTGGTATTTGATCTTTCATTCATTAAACTGTTAACCCATTTTCAGTCCCTGTTAATGCAACTCAATTGCATCAGTGCTTTAACAAGCTGTTAAAGAAACTATCACATAGAAATGGGTAGACAAAATTGTGTCCATATTACTGCACTTTGACTCTGAACATGGGCATAATGTACTGAGCATGATATAGTGCTCCTTCAATACTCTCACTGGAGGTAGTAAAAAGTGAAGAAAGGTTGGGATGTTTGAGGGAGAATCTCTAAGCTCTGAGCTTTATGTGTGATTCAAAAGCCAAGATTTTGAAATGACGCTAGCCAGCTGTAAATTGAAGCTGCAAGAAGTAGTGTGTCGAAGTAAATGTATGCTGCCTTGTTACATGCATTTTAAAAATAACACTGAAAAACTCGATGAAGAGTTTGATGGTATCAGCTCTTGAGACTACTTGTGCATCTTAACTTTCTTTTTTTTCTGTTTGATATAAAAAAAAAAAAAAATTCATCTTCCATGGCCTGCACATTGCTAATGTAAGTGGTGAAGAAGGGCCAAATGTACCCTCTTCACTACTCAAGGTGTGCCAGGCTGACCCAACACATAGGCTCAGGAGCTCACTCAGGCACGGGCTGTAGTCAGATGCTGGAGGCACCTCTGCAGGGCTCAGACCAGGTCAGTTACAGGACCTTAGATGGAAAAGTCTTTGTCCCCACACTCAAACACAGAGAGGTCCACGCAGGTGACACTGAGCCACAAAGCACACTTTATTTACATGTCAGTGGAGAATAGTTTGAGTTTGTCCAGGAACAGGACTTAATACTGTGCTCTATCACTTGCAATTGCCGGTAGCAGCAGGGCAACATTCAGCCGGTGTCAAAAACCTTTTAAGCCGCTTCCTTGTTGCTGTCCTGTCCCACGGCTGAGTGCCAACCCTCGCCCATGCTCAATGGAACGATGGGGTATTTTCAGCTCCCCACTACCTGCCCGTGTTGTGTTTGCTCCATCAGCTCTCCGTGCATGCAGGCTCCTCTTGTGTTAGGGGATGTGACCTTACAATTGCCATGGCACCCGACATCCCTGGATCACACCTACGGGCTGTGGTAGCAGGGCCCCCGCGGCTGGAGAAGAGGCACAGCCCGAGGGGATGTTCACATCTCCAAAGCGTGACTTCACTACGCTCTGGAGTAGTTCCCTTTCCTCACTGCTCTAGGAGAAAACCTCGCAAGACGAGGCACGGCGGAAAACAATGAAAAGAGAAGGTTTATTTTAATTAAATAATAATAATAATGATAAAAAAAAGCGGCGCTTCGGTGCGCTTTTAACAAGGCCCGCTGGCGTTTGATGATGGCAGGGCTGGAATTGCGACGGATGGTGCAGCATTCCCAGGCGGGAGGCGCGGGCCCGGCCCCACTCTCGGGCCCGGCCCCACTCCCGGGCNGGGAGCTCCAGGCCTTGCAGCGGGCCTCGGCCTCGGGCTCGGCCCGCCGGCACTGGGGAAAAAAACAATTAAATCCGTGCTTTGATGGGCTACCGGCAAACCATGTGAGAGTAAAAGGGAAAGGATCGCCAGTGTAAAACAAACAAACAAACAAAAAAACCACAAACAAACAAGCAACCCCCCCCCATCTCCTTCACTGATACACATTTTGAACTACAAACAGCTAATCTTGACACCGTTTCCCAGTAAACTAACTGTGACAAAAAAGGTTTTTTTTAGCATTTTGAACAGCTCAGCTGGAAGCAGGGAAATTAGCATGAAGTGAAATATTTGTGGGAGCTTAATACAGGTAAAATCTTGGTTTTTTCCCTGACATAGGACACTGGGGCAAATTAAGCATTTCTAATTGCACAGTCTAAAACAGAATAGCACACAGCAAGAAATGGTGACCAAAACAGTGATGACCAAACTAGAAGAAAGAGAGACTTGCTGTGAACATGAGGTAAATAAATTTCTGATACAAAACCATAAAACTGCTAGAGCATGGAAAGGCAACGACTGGATGAAAGGATGAGAAGGGAAAATTATGCTCAGAACTGACATTGCTAAACACTGTTCTCTCCAAATCCTACCCATTAAATGTGAAGCTTTTGTTCATCTAGATGTGCATCATATTGCATTGCATAGCTCTGCTACACAAATGTGTAGTGGAGTGCATTCCTTTCTACTCATCTGCCAAACTCCAAACTTCCATCGTTTTTGTTGAGATTTCTGTATGAAAGAAAGTTAAATACACTACACAGTGAGAAACAATTATTTAGTTTTGTCTTTGACTCTAAAAGTGCCTAATCAGGGTGTCACCAGACTGTGATTATGTGCATTTTTATTACTCTGTATTTCTAAATATTAGCTTTTTTTTAATAATATTTAAGTTTTGACACTTGAGACTAGAATGGGCAGTTTGTATGTCATTGTCTGGAATGGGGAAGAGTGTTAAAATTTCTCTGAAATGGATGAGGTAATGTTTACAGACTCATAACCAGGCTGTTGCTGGTGCTGTTATTTGCTCTTCAAGGTTGGGTTAACAGTGTAACTGCCATGGTGACTCTCTGGAAACCTGGAAATGCAGAACAGCACTAGCAACTAAAAAAGACTGAAACCTAGTGCTAGCTTACAGTTCTCCTCATAGCTAGGAGAAAATTTTGGAAGAAATCCTGCAATCCAAGAGGCTGTCTTTATTTTCACACTGATGATTTATGATGACAATTTTCTCACGCTTTGTAATGACACCTCAGGTAAACTGTCTTGCTCACAACACAGAACTTGGTCACAATAGGGGAAAAAAGTGCATTGCAGCCTCACATGCAGAACCTGACAAAGACCTTAAGGTACTCTGATACTTTTGGGTGCTAAAAAGGCAAGCTCAGAGTGGCTTTCCAAATGACAAATGTTTTCCTTCGAGCCTAGGATGAATATATACATCAGCAGCATTTTTCAACTGCTATTTTTTCACAGTTCAGCCAACTTTGAATTGTTTGTGTTGCAATAATATCTTAAAGAGACATAAAAAGGTATAGATTTAAGCTACATTGTCATCATGGTCTTCCTTGAGATCATTGCATGTAATGATTAAATCTTCCTTAAATCTCTGAATGATAAGCAACTGGCTATACATGCAAGGGCTTCAGACTATCTGTGTCTCTATCTATGTGTGCAACTATTTACAAGATTGGGCTTGCCTAGGCTAACTTGCAGGCACCAGAGTTAATTCTCATTCTAGCTTAAATTAATTTTTTTTTTTGAGCTCTTCCGGGACCTTCATAGCTTTGCCTTGCCAGCACAAAAAGCAGCAGCGACTTGAATTGCAACGCGGTTGGAGAAAAAATTCCCAAACTCCTGAGATGAGAGAGATTTGCATTGACCTCGCACCCGCAGCTCCCAGCGCCGGGGAGCTCTCAGTGACGCGTTCCTGCCCGGCTCCCAGCCCGGGATAAGGCGCTGCCTGCCCTCCCCAGCAGCCGTGCTCCTTCCTTGTCTGCAGCACCCGTAAGGGCCAGCCCAAGGGGCTGCGCAGCCAAGAGCGCCCAGCCCTCCCCGGCGCTGCCAGCAGCCCCGCCGGACCAGCGCCCCATCCATCCTGCTGACGGGCTGGGGGGTCTCTGCCCGGCCCCTTGCACAGGTACCAGCCGGCGCCGGGATCTGCAGTACAGCGCTCAGCCCCTCCGCAAAGATGGTCTTATCACCTCGGCATCAAAATCAACACTACCGCTATCAAACATTGCCTGGGAGAGACATCTGCTATTTAAATGTATTCTAGCAGATGAAAGGAATGGAAACATAAAACCCAAACACTTCCCTTTTTTCCTAATGTAATCAGTATTTTTAAGCAGTTTATCTGCTTATTAATAGGAAGGTTTTAAAACATTTTGCTTGAGCTGACATTCTTTAATTATAATATTCACACTGCTGAATATGCAGGCACACCAGCAGAAGCTCTATTGTGAAGGAACACGCAGATTCAATCTGTTTCTTTCTCTGAATTTTTCTGACTTGGTCTTATTTTTCCATTCATCATTATATTTTTGTTTGCTTCTCACATTTCTTTTTAAATGTGTGGGTTTTTTCCTCTTACTCTGTTGTTCCACTTGAAAACACCAGGATTAGCATGCAGATGTTTTTTTTGATCAGAGATTTTTTTTTTAATCATTTCCATTTTCCACAGTCTATTTGGGTAGCTGGGGATTTTTTTGTTTGTTTGCTTTTGACCCTGTTTTGTTGGTTTTTTTTTTTCTTTTTAATGTATTACTCTTGTCTGAGTGTAAACACCTTCTGTTTGCTGTTGTTTACCTAAATCAGCATTTTAGAAAATTAACTTCTAGTTAAATAGATCATGAGCTATGCTAGCTCATGCAATAATCTAATAACCTCCATGTTTTTAGTGCTTTGATAACCATGATAGCTCAGGTCAAATAGATACTGGTTTAAGGAGGCTTTTTTTTTTAAAAAAAAAAACAACCAAAAAACAACGAAACAAAAAACAAACCCCCAAAACAAAAAATATGTAAAAAGGATAAGGTTTCAGCATGTATGTTATTTGTTGAAAAATTGCGTTGTAATACCTTTAAAATGGCTTTTAGAATTCATGTAAGTTATAGGATTTACTGAACATAGATCAATGAGAAAATTATTCATACTCCTTGCCAATATGAAAGGACCAACTTCCTATTTTTTCTTTAATTAAAAGGAATAATGACCTCTTTAAATGAGATCCAGTTGGAATTTTGGCTAGGTTGTTATCTGCAGGCTATCATTCACAGGAGTTGAATTACACTTAATTTTTAGAAAGCTGAGAGGAGCAAAAGACATTCAGCATCTTAGCTCAGGGAAACAGCCATTGAATGCTGCTTTAAGAACGAGAAGCAGAAAGAATACAACCCAAGCTGTTACCACCCATGTAAGTTGCAACATCCACCTTCATTAAATCTATATTATAAACACTGAAGAGGTTCAGGAATTCCTTGTCTCTTGCATTAGAAGGAGTGATCAATGGATTTTACAGGGCTGATATTTCAAGATCAATTTTTAATGTCAAGAAACTAAAGTTGGGGGTGGGTGCTCTTCCATAACCCTGGACATTTCCAGTAACCAAGATACCCACCACTGCTGTTTAGTGGCTGTATATTTTTTTAAGAACATCCATGCCTGAAGCATCCATGGATAGCAAAACTCATCTCCACACCATCCCTTACAAGGAAAAGCAAAATTGCCTGCAGTGATGTGTGCTGGACAAGCTCAGAAATGCCATGAACATGTTGTTTGGGAGCATGGCCAAAACAACAGAAACTCCTGTTCATTTCCAAAGTTAATTTAATGCCTAAAACTTTGTAGGGCCCCTCTTATCGAACATGACTTTGGTCCCTGAGGTGCCACGGAAATTGCATCACCATGTCCTGGAGCCCAAGGAGCAGCTCCAGGGCAGCTGCACAGAGCCTGGAGTTCAGTACTGAGAAAGTGCAACATGCACAATTTAGTTACCCCTTACAAAGTATCTGCCACCACCTCTCCCATGCAGTGGACTTAATTCCTGGAAAGGGTTACTGGCTAAAGTTAAAAAAAGATTATATTGAAATGTGAATTGTCCCTTGAAGGTTTTTTACAAGTAAGCAAAAAAAAAAAAAAAAAAGCCTTTTTTATTTTGTTTCTAGACACCTCATTAAAAATGGGAAATTTTTAAGTGTTTAAAAAAGCTATCTTTTTTCCCCACAGGATAAAGCATAAGGTTATCTATTACCTGAAGCTATAATCAGGTTAGCATAACAAATCTGTTTTTCCCTGCAATCCTATTTCTTTTTGCCCAAGCAATCAATTTTTGGTGACATCACATACTTCAAGGAGAAAACACAGGATGACTCTGCTATAGCAGTACAGCAGAGCAGCAGAGAGATTTTTTTTTTTTTGTCTTGCTCTGCAATATGTAACTGAAAATGCTTTAGGGGTTAGTCAGCTTTCTTTAAAGCCGTGGCCATTAAAAAATGTTTTCCCAATCCTTTTTCTGTGTCCTATCAAAAACAGACAAAGGCAGAAGTTCCTGTAGCCCTGCAGCCCCTTTGCACCAACAAAGCTGAAGCAAAGGCAATGCAGGCAAGGTACAAATCTCTGCGGAGTAGGTGTTAGTAGGGAAATGTGGATGTGTGCCATCTCATGGAAGGGACCTGGGTGCATGAGGCTACAGAGGGATTATCCTAAAAATGCTGCCTTCTATCTTGTAATCTAGTGATTTCCTTTCCCAGCACAGCAGTTTATTTCAAGAAGAGCACAGTTTAGCATCTCTTTGAACACACTATTACTGAATGTATTGTAATTAGTTCCTGCTTATGAAGCTCTTGGACACAGAGGAACATGCAAGTGTTAAGTGTTACAGTCATTATCATTCACCTTTACTTAATACATTTCTGTTTTATTTAGCTACTTGTGACAAAGGAATCCAATGCCTTTCACCAGGCTGCACATGTGTGAACTAGTGAGACCACAGGAATGGAAAAGTGGAGTCCTGAAATATGCCTTGCTCCAGAAAGCTGAGAGATAAGTTTGCTGGTAATGTAGTAAACAACTAGTTAGCAAGGAAGCTATAAATGTTTGCAATTAAATTCACTGCATCGCCAACCCCAAGTCTCCAAATTAATCGTTAGCTGGATGGCTTAAGATTGGTCTTTTATATTTTTTTCCCTTCAGTATAGACTTCATGTTTTCAAGGCCTTCTTTACATGCAAGAGCTACACTTTCAACTTTTTTAGTAAAATCCATGTGTAATAACATCCTTACCTTAATAGGTCAGACTTTTAAGGAAATCAATGCTAAGAGTGGACAACAAGGAGTAACATACACAATAAATCTTCAGAAAAATCAAACAGCACCAAAACCCTAAAATATAAAATATTAATTAATTCTAGTCACATAAGCTGACCATTTCCTTAAAATCTATGAGATGAAAACTCAACCTTGCAAACTCATAGAAGTCCACTGAAAATGTCACCGGGATCTCCAGCAGAGAGGAAGGACCAATAATTCAATTTAACTAAGAGTGATTGTAAGTCTTGTCATTTGGCCAGACAACCTAAATGACAAAAAACAGGATCATGTCATGTTATAAATTTCTTTGGTTTTGGCTTTGCTTTTTCCTTGGAAGAATACTGATGTGCTTGTTTGATTAACTGAAACTTAAGGTTGAGTTTTAGATCAGACTTGGATTTAAGCAGAAGAAAAAGATGTCTGTATGGGATGAATAGATACATGCATTCTAGTTGTATACACACCTATTTATTTGTGTGAGGGCAGGAATCAGTTCTATTTACAATTACATGCCATATAATTTATTTTTTTTTTACATGCCTGTGCTTCTGTTAGGGTGCATATCTAAAAAGCTTGTGCACTCAGACAGTCTTCAGACTCCAGTGTCCAGGTCTGCAAATACCTATTCCAATGAGTCATCAACAGCTTCATGAAATAATTTTCCATTGTAAACTTGCAAGTGATCTGCTCTGGGGTATAAAGCCCTTAAAAGGCAGTGATAAAATGTACTTTAGGGGGGAAAAAAAATTGAACTCAGCATGAGATCACTCATGAAAGGAAGGGCACTGACACTCAAACCTCGAGTTATCCAATTCCTTCTTTAAAAAGTGGTATCTTTAATGGGTGGTTGCAAAGCTGTATCTTTTGTGCTCCTTTCCTGTTCCTCCTCCATAAGAGGAGATGTTCACAAGTCAAAGTTCTACAATTTAAAAACGTAGCCTGAATGCATCAGGTATATATTTATATACTGCAGATCTTTCACTGTGTGACTACAATGTGAGACGAGTGAATTCCACCCTGAGATTAGAGACTCCCCTGTAGTTCTCTGCAGATATGAGAAAATACAGGCCAAACACAGTTACTCTTTGAGTAACTCAGGGGCCCAAAAGCACAGGACATTTTCTCATGGTAAGTCAGCTACCTCAGAATGCACTTTTTTTTTCCCCTTTTAAATCTTTTTATTGGTGCAATGTTTCTGCAGTGTAGACACTGTCAGCTTCAGAGGCTGAAGGTTTATTAGACCACAGAACAGATAATGGATAAACAGCAGCTGTAAGAGTTTGTTCAGCTCACCTCACCAAGGAGCCTAGATATCACTTGGCAGTGCTAAGTGCTCCATACAACTTCTGCTTCTAGTTCATGGGCCAGTGCCACTGAAGTTCTCAACAGATGATGCTATTAGTACAACCCACTACTATTTATCTTTTCTTTCTGTATGAAAGGGAATAAAATACTTGTTTTGCTTACACAGTCCTGTGAAGAGCCATTAGGTGGTACTAATGGTGCTTTTGACTGCTGGCATCTGCTCTAGATGGGGTTCGAGTAGGGGCCTTGAAGGTAGAGGGCTTTCAAACACCCATTTGATTGCCAATCCCCTGCGGAATAACAGCTACATTGGTATCAACATACTGAAATATGTGTGACACTAGCCAGCACGCCAGGTACTCTCAATGGCAGAGTAACACTTTATCAAAAGAGACAGGCATGTGAGGGTGAGCTGTGAAATAAAGATGCAGAATTTCTTGTGAGACCTTTTAAAACACTCCTACTGCTCTACCTTGTCCAGGTAGGATTGTACAAAAAACTTTTGGAGGGGATCTTATTCTGTCCAAAAGTATTGCTCCTCCAAAGTGATTTGTCAACCCACCATACTGTGGGGAAAAAAAAAATAATTCTAGGAGTCTCTCTTTTTCTTTTTGAAAATAGACAGAATTTTAGATGTAAAATACAATCATATTCTCTATAAATTCTTGTCCTTCTACATTTCTTGTGTTGACATTGTGTATTTTTTTTCCCAGTGCCAGTGGCCTGAATAGTAATGGTGTAGCACAAGCCAGACAGTCACACACTACTTGTCCTGAGCAGGACTCTGGGTAAAATGCTCATTACTGTGTCTATGGGAACTGGTGCTATAATATTAATCTTTTAATTGTGTTTGGGGCTTTTTTTCCTCATAGAAGAAAAAAAGTCACTAGACAACCAAAATATCCTTTACAAGGTGAGATGGTTCCAGATCATTTTCCCTCTTTGCTTGTGGCTTTTAAAGAGATCATTTCTGCAAGGAGCTAGGATTCAGCATCCTATTTTTGGCACAGTGTCCACGCTTCTGACTTTGCATGGGAAGGGTTAGAGCTGAGAAAGCAAAGCTGAGTATTTATATCACATAGGTATGTGAGCTGTGCCTAGAGCCAAGCAGTACAGAAGACTTGCAGTGTATAGGTACACACCCCATTCTGCACAGTGGATAACCAGAAGGCTGCCTCCTGTAAATGTATTCCATCTTTTTGGCATCCTTTCAGGCAGGCAGAAACAATGCATAGCCCTAATGCTCCAAAGCATCCTCTGCTTTGCAGCCGCAGAAGCCTCCTCATTAGCTGGTAAAGGCAATGACAGTTCCTTAAAGTTACTAGAGTTAGACATGGATTTACTCCAAATTAAGGACTTGGCCGAGATTATTTTTTTTCTTTTTTTTTTTTTTTAATGCATTAGCAGATGGCAAATATGCACTGAGGACAGAAAAACTACTGGTTTTTGAGGGCAATGGTTGCTTGCAATGCTAATTTGGGGCTTTATGTTTATGCAAGCTAACCTGAAGGGACACATTTCATAGCTGGGTTGAAGCCGCAGAAAGACTCAAGCAGCAAAGTGCAGAATACCAGCAACCCATTTAAAGCTGGGTGTGTGAATGCAGGGTTGGGTGTCTGCTCGTTCTGAAGATTCAGAAAATAAGGCAGGAGCAGATGTTAAGAGATCACAACTTTATATATTTCCCTCATTCAGTCATGTCAAGATGAGACCAGTTGTGAAACTTCCTAAGTGGGAAGGTACTTGGCCTTACGTTTGGATTCAGGCTAGCTGACACTGCAAGCCTATTCACGTGTTCTCCCGGAAAGGATGTACACATGAGAACGTTTTAGAGCACTGGCGTGTGGTGGAAATCAGCGAGTAATAAGCCTCCAAAAGCAGATGTTGAGAGATGTTTACAGGTCCTGACAGACTGTTTTCACCTTGCAGTTCTTTTTATGGATACACCATATCCATATCTGCAAACTGTGATGACACAGACAACCTTTCCCTCCAAACTCTGTTAACCTTGCTACAGAAAGCAACCTGGGATAACCACAAAATAGCTATTGACCAAGGTTGAACAGCTTATGTAGTTCTGACAGTGTAGTCACAGAATAGGAATAAAATGAAAATCAAAGCTCAAAGAAGGGGTTATTTTCCTGGCAACACTCCTATCTACGAATACAGGGGAAGGATGTGTCATTCTCAGAGCAAAATTTATCCTGAAGACAACTGAAGTTGGTATGGTCTCCTGTGATTCCCAGCAAATGTTTTGTACCTCACTTTTTATTTCTTACTTCTTTCTGTTATTTTCTTTAAAGAATTGTGATATTCCGTGTTATGCCTGATACCATGCTGTTCCTTCACATAAGACATTATTGTGTGTTATGGTCACACCTGGGCTTTTTTCTATTTCTGATTTCATTTAAGGGAACCAGGAAGCCATTTTTGTGAGTGAAAAATCACACTGACCTCACCTGCAAATTCTGTGCACAGAAGACTTTAAAACCATTCCAGTGGCTACAGAATGAATCACAATACAGCAGGTATTCAGCTATCTTTTTTAATAAGTATGCTTTAATTGGACAAAAGCGTAGCTGACACGTTTAACTTACACATCTATTATAGGATAGAACTCACTTAACCACTCTCTTATAATATGATTTCCTGTGAAGTTAGCCATATTTTGGTCAAATAATCCTGCAGCTAAGACTGATTTCTCTGAACATACTTGCCAGCTGGGACTCTATTAGGTTAGAGCACTGCTTCCCACAATTAGGACCTGTGGACATTAATGTCATACAAATGAATGTGTTGCTGTAGAATAGTTTTGATAACTAATTCACTGTACAGATTAAGTATGAACTATCCACTTGCACTGTTGATTTCTGTGTCTCTGGCCACAGAAGTCCCATGATATTGCTCCTGCTCTCTGGATACATGGCCGAGGATTTTTTAGTAAGAGAGAGACAAGAAAGTGGGTAGAGCTGACTGCTCTAAATTCCTGGGCATGTCCACTGTTGATAATTTATTCATGCATTTTCTTCTGCTTCCTTGGTCTGTTTTTTCAGCACATATTTATCATTACAGTTCCTTGGAAGTCAATGGAATAATATTCATTTGTCCTCTTTTGACTGAGAATATGACTGGATAAAATTTTAGTCAGAGCTGAAGAATAAACTAGAAACCTTGAATGTTGTTAATCCAGCATCTAAAGGGCTTATTCTTCACAGGTACTGCTCCCTGATTCAGCACAATCTTTTGAGCATTTGTTTAAATCCCTCTGTCAATAATGACCCACAAGCACAGGCTGAAGACAAGTGTCACAAGAAAATATTCTGACTGCCGTTCTTGGAGTCTTTCTAACAGCAGATTATTGAAATGTGAATGCAGCCTTGAAACTTAAATTCAGTTTAGCACATCCTGAAAATCCAGGAAAATGAGAAATCTTTCTCTGAATGTGGTAATGCTGGTTTTTCCTCTGGAGAACCAGCAGTTTTCAGATTATGGCTCTAGTATTTTTAAACTTAAAAACCATGCTATTGATTATAAGGAAAACCATGGACACACTGAGAGTTCAAATAAAGTAGTAAAGATCCTTAAATATCAACATTTCTTCAGAACCTATAGTATTTTACTGACTAGAGAAGCTCAGAAAAAATGTCTCCCTTGCTGTGACCCAGTAGAGCTCATAGCCCCTAGCTGACAATCTTTTCCTTTAGCTCTACACACTATGACCACCACATCCAGCCCTTAGTGAAATGAGTGTTAAATTCACTGAAGAGTATCAGAAATGGAAATACACAAGGGGAAAAAAAAAAAAAGCAAAAAAAAAAAGCCACATGACTTTCTTCAGCAGCTGAACTTGGGAAAGACAGTCAGTGGGGGAATTAGGACAGTTTGAAAAGAGGTAGCAGAACAGGCCATTGTTATTATTTTCTATTTGAACATTAAAACAAAAATAATGAAAAATATCTTAGCCAGAAGTAGAATAAATTCCACTATGTTCCATTAAGCTGCATGTCTTTGGCTTGATTCCTTGTACAGGAGAGTGAGCAAAGTTTGGCCAGCAGATTTTGGTATCTACTTCTCATGCTTTTCCCACCTGGTAGCATGCTGCTTCCTGGGCTGCCTCTGTAAGCGCAAAGAGCAACAGCTCCTGCTCTGTTACGTCCCAGAACACAGCAGCAGACTCGCCCTCTGCTCCTCTCCTAGCAGAGATGGGCCAGAAGCAACCTCGTAAGCAGGACTGGGAGGCTTGTAGAAAACTGAGACACTGAGACAGAATTGCTACTGGTTGCACAAAGTAAATGTCAAACAGGGAAATTCCCCACGGGGAAGGTATGTCAGGTATTAGTCCTGTACATCCGGATTTTATTCCCCAAAGTAATGTTAGCTGGACGACATTCAACTCCTGGTCTTGCAGGTCTCAGCCTGACTGCCAACTGCAGATTACCCTCTGTCCCAACTTCAGGGACAGTCAAGATCAACTGAGTCCAGAATGGGACAAAAAGCCATCACTTTTGCAGAATCCAGCCCATCACAGGATGCAAGAAGCAAGTTGTCCCTCTGACACATGTGAGGGGATAAAGTACCAACAGATCAGCACAACGAATTGGTGCCTTCAATATTCACATAAGCAACATTTGAGAGACAGCAATAATAATAATAAAAATAATAAATAATGAAAATATAAACCTGGGTATGATTTCTCTTAGATGCAAATCAAGATTTAAATATAAAAATGATAGGCTTCTGTTAATCCTTCTTAGGAAGTCATAAATTGTTAATCAGACCTTAGGCAGTGTTGTTTAATACCAACTTTAATAAAATAGCTGCCTGAAGCAGAAAGACAGTTGGGATCCTGACTCTAAAACTTTGGTAACCTCATCCACTTTTTTGTAGCCTGAGGCTCTTACACTACCATTGATACTAACTCCTTTGAAATATGCTCATTTTTTAGGTTGCTAAATTATTAAACACCTTATTAGTTGAAAGATTAGATGGAAAAAAGTCATCTCTGTATGACGGAAAATGGATTGGAAGAGGAAGGAAAAGTTGAGGGAATATTTACATAAAAGATGCAGCTCTGTTGTTGATATACAGAGGTAATCCATAATCCATAATTCATTTAAGAAATGAACCCATCAAATTACATAACTACGCATGACAAATTGCTACTGTTGAGCTATCCTACAATAAATTACAAGGAATCATTCCTGTCAAGAGTGTATTTTGTTTGAGACTAAAAAAAGCAATGTCGCTACAAGGTTGTTTTCCCTCTTGTTCCATAGGATTTGTCTATCATACACAATATTGCACACTTCCACCATATAATTTGATTGGGGTAGAAGAAGTTCCTTTGTATGGAGTAACCACAAAGTCTCTGAGATTAAAACTGCTTTGAAAATTGCAAGAAAAGGGGATAGGAGAAAAAGGTAGAATGTGTCTTCCTCGTTATTTCTTAATACTATTTGTCAGTCAGGTGAGCAGATCTTTGGAGTGAAAAATAAGAAACAGTCATTTCCTGAAGTGTGATGTCTTTTTAGTGTATGTCCAGAGCAGCTTGTTAGCATACTAATTGTTTCATTTAATATGCAATACAGAGCATACTTACTACTTTGAAGTGCTTATTCATGATGTCATGGATATTAGTGTATATTTCTTAATTACACAACAGAACAATCTTTCCTCTTTCAACCCACACTTTCTGCTGCTCTGATTGGTTTCTCTAACTAGCCAGAATAATCATTTTGCCACACAGAAGCAGAAAAGGAAAAAAAAAAAGTAAACAATTTTAAAAGCCATTTTAATTTAATAACAAATTGGGAGCTGTATTTCGTGTTAAATTAGCACTGCAAGCCTCATATCAATTCAAGGCAAGGTTCCCTGTTCGTTACTGCTTAATTAATCAGTCCTGTTTCCATCTAAATGAAAAGTTTTCTCTCTTGCCTATCATCTCTAACATCTCATTTCAGGCAGCACATCAAGTTAATCTCGCTTACATTAGCAACTTATTTCTAATGGCTCAGTTCAATTATTTGGTTGGAGCATGGTGTTAATAATGCCACGGTTGCAGGTTCAATCCCTGTATGGGCCATTCACTTAAGAGCTGGACTTGAAGATCCTTATGGATCCCTTCCAACTCGGAACGTGCTGTCATAATTTATCCTATCCCAGTTTGCATATGAATTCTCCTCAGTCGTTTTGTTTTGGGCAGATTGGAGTCTATGGTAAAACAGCAATTGCAAGAGCAAGCTAATCCAACATCGTGATGGGGGGCATCATTTATCCCTACTACATGATGACAAACACCTACTTCCAACACACTGAAGTCTTCTGAACTATTGGCTTCCTGGTGTGCCTTGTCCTTCCAGAGGCAACATGGCACTAGAGACATGGTTTAGTGATGGACTTGACAGTGCTGGGTTAACTCTTGGACTTGGTGATCTTAGCGGTCTTTTCTAACCTAAAACATTCTATGATTAGAATACACACAGAGCTGAGCAAAGAATTATTATTTTATAAAACAACAGATGAACATGATCATGAAACATTCCTATGGAAGAAGAGAAATCTGTAAGGGAAGGAGAATTTGGAAAGTCAGGTGGTATCTGAAAACATGTCCTCGTTAATGCAACATATTCTGGAAATAAAGCTGCAATATGCATGAATCCTGCACTACCATCAGCAGTGTATATAAAAAAGTAACAAACATTCCACCAAATCAGATTTGAAGAAAGTGAAGAATAGGACTTGAGCACCATCTGGCTGAATATCTCCTGATTATGCTGACCCCACCATTCCCAGTGCTGGAAACTGCTGCTGCTGCCATAATCTGGTACGTTTTATCACCAGCAGCAAAGCACACTAATTCTGGGACTTAACAAAAGACCTCTGGTGTTTTGGATTGCACCAAGCTGGTCCCAGTCAGACACCCACTGAAGCTGCAGTTGCTCATACATGCTACTTTCTGCACTTGCCTTGCTCAGTTCAGCCTTCAGAAGTAAGTTTTCTGGCTGCTCCTAGTGCTGGGATGCCTGCCTGCCCATGTCAGGATATCTGTTGTTAACACTGCAACCCCCCCAGGCACCGCCACAGCTCCAGCAGCTCTGTCTGTAGAGACCCACAGCCTCCGAGATGAAACAGATACTTGCTCGGGTCAGGGCTCGAAACTAAATCTGAGCCTGAGGTGTCTGCAGCACATGAAGGCTGGTTTTAATGCTAGCTTGACAAATATAAATACTTTTGTAATAAACGCAAAACACGCAATGTTAAGTGACTATTCCAAGAGGAAGAAAACTGTTTTTCCTAAATAATTCCAGTATTTACTTTTGCTCATCCAGGACTCAGGATGTTATTGCAACAGGGAAGAAGGATGTGCAGCCTATTTTAACCTTCTAGATTTGCAGCAACCAGCCTCTGACCTCCCATTTACCAGCCTGGTTGAAATTACAACCTGATGCTAAGGAAAACTCTGTCATACTTTAAAGTAACTCCGATATCAAGTAGCTTTGAGATATCTGACAAATGAATTACAGTGGATTAATGAGGAGCTGCTTCAGAAATACTGCAAAAGAGCCCCTTACATGTTACAATATGGTAATACATTTCATTTAATAGCAATATAAATTATGTGCTGAGAAAAGTGGGAGCCTATTTTTGTGTTGTTTTGTTGAGTTTGTTTTTTTTTCCCAAGAGAACAGAAATCCTTCCTATAAGTCAGAGTGCACACTTCTGTTTCTGATGGGAAACATCGTCCTGAAAAGCACAGAATTTCAAAGCTGCCTGAGATTAGATTGTCTGCAGAATTGTGCTGATAGCTGTAAATATTAATAAATATGATACACTGGGCCAGCTTTTCTCTTCAGATGCTTATGCTCTGCTTCCTCTTAAGTGCAGATGACTTGGAGACACAAGCACCAGGAGGAAGAATCTGAGCTAAGAATTGGTTTTAGAGATGCAACACACAGTGACACTTGCACAAAGGAAGGATGTTCCCATTACATGCCAGCAGAAACAGCCAGGAAGCAAAAATCTCAGTCCAGTCCTCTATCCCCTCTGCAACTGCTGATGGGAGCTGGCAGACAGCAGAGAATCCTTCTCCACACTGTACAGATGATCCAGGGCTATACTGTTGAAGTGGCATCAATGGGAAATGACGGTTATTCCTTACACAGTTTTTCTTTCCATCCCCATTTTGCATAGTCTATTATTTAGGGATACAAATTATCCCAACATTTGGTGGTCATGTTGTGGTCACCATGAAAATAACTGCAAATTTGTAAACACTTTATTACAAAGCCTGACATCTTGATCCAGAACGACACTTAAGTATTCAAACAGGCTGGTGAACTTCAGTGCAGTTTATTGGTACTTTTAAAAGTAAACTCCTCTGGGACCAGGTGTAAGTCAGAGAGAAGAACATGCTTTGTTTATGGCAGAAATAACTTGGTAATTATCAGCAGTGAGAAGGAAAACATCATAGAAGAGCATTCATATTATTTAGACTTATATGGAGTTTAGATGAAATACAGGGTTTTATAAAACTGGTTGGCACAGCATGAATTGCTTAAAGGGATGTGGCTGGTGGACTTAAGAGTTGCTTCTGCATCTTTTTCCCTTTCAGCCTTGACAGCTAAATTGAGCACCAATTTCACAAAAGAAATTTGCTCCCTGAAAGAGATTCTACCTCTATATATTCCTGCTCTGTGATCTGCCAGGGCACTCTCCACACTATGAAAGTGAGGAAATAGGTTCTCCTGAATTCTTGTAGAGCTTGATCAGTTTGTCAGGCCAGCTCCAAAAGCATTAGGTCATAGTAGGTGGTACAGAGCTCAGGACCTGGTACTACTTCGATCTAAACTGGCCACATAACTTGTAAATTTAATGTGTCTTTTTTATGAGTCTTTTTCTACTTCTCTCTCTATTTTATTTACACTAAGATCAATACCCGTGTCAGGGGTATTGGTGTACACCATGTCCTTATTCAAGTAACTTCCCTTTGACTCACCTTCATATCTATGTGCTAGGAATACTACTCCTTAGATGTTTACAAAGCAGGGGTGCTTTGAAATGAATTCATGCAGGCATGAACATGAACAAGAGATAGTGTGGCATGACCTCTGGCTGCCCCAAACCACAGGGAGCAGCATGCAGAATAGGCAGCCTTTTATGAGATTTTGTTTTTTATCCCCTTCTCTCCCACAGGCATAAGTAGGTGGGAATGTATGAGGCAGGGAAGGGTAAAGAAACTCTGTGGCCAGTCCAACTCGGCCAATGCAGAGAGTAAGGTCATTGCCGCCTTGCTTGGGGACAGCTCAGATTACTTTCTCCTGGGAATAAGATACTCAGTCTTGTCTCAGACAGCTCTGGAGCTACCCAGCTTCCCCCTTCCCCTCCACAGAAAACATGGCTGAACAAGCAAGCCAAAAACATCCAGAAAAATCCTTTGGGGAGAGAGTGTCAAAGCAGATGCAAGGAGTCCTTGAGAAAAATAATTGGCTTTCTTTTGGATGAAAAGAAGAGACCCAAATCTGACTCTTCGCCCCTCATCCATTCTTTGATCAGCTACAACAAGTAAAGAGAGCAGGAGAGAGGCAGGTGGGTTGACTGCAAGCTGTACTTGCTATAAGAGCCTGGTTCAGCATCCCTG